TTGGGACTCCCGTATAGAGCTCGGCGAGGATACATCCGAGACTCCACATGTCGATGGGCATACCATACGTCATGCCTAGGATGACCTCAGGTGATCGGTAGAATCGAGACTGAATATAGGTGTACACCTTTTCATTCTCGAAACAACTAGAGCCAAAGTCGATGACCTTGATCTCCGAGTGCAGCGGGTGCCGAAGCAGAATGTTTTCGGGCTTGAGATCGCAGTGGATGACCTTGTGCTGCTTCAGCAGATTCAAGGAGCTCAACATCTGTTTCGTCATTCGCCTAATGAGCTTGAGTGAGAATCCGCGGAAAGCGTTTGCTTTGATGAATTCGTAGAGATTCATGTCCAGAAGTTCGGTGGAAATGCATAGATGTCCCCGGAAGTAAAAGCTGTGAGTAAAGTTGACCATGCTGTGGCGGTTTTTGGGGTCCTGTAATCAAAGTTAGCCAAAGCGCTGCATACAGGTCCGGAATCACCTACCCATTCGCGAAGCTTCTGCAGAATGTTGACTTCTACAAGAGCCTGCTGATGGAACCTCTTCTTATTGCGAATAATCTTCACAGCTACGAGCACACCCGTCTTGTGGTCAATGCACCGCACAACTTGACCGAAACTTCCCTTGCCGAGCACGTCGATAATTTCGTACCGGTACGAAAGATGGTCTCCCGGTACAATAGTGTAGTCTCCACGTTCGTCGTCGTAACCAAAGTTGGGGGCATCAGATTGAAGATCGCCCACAACCTTGCGAGCGTTCTGCGTGCCGCAAAAGTAGACATCGTTATAATCGACGATTTCACCACGCTCATAAATGTTGAGCATGGCGATCCGAATGGCTTCCTGGGCACCCACTCGTTCCTTTGGCGTCGCACGTTTCCGTAATGCGTCGAGGGTCCTAGCCGCGATCTCCGTCTCTTTCCTTCTCGAGCCCATTTTCTTCATCTCTTCCTCAGCAACTAGGTCGTCCTTGTCGAGCTCAGCAGTCCATGGGTCATGGTGACGCATAGTCGTTGCTGATGCCTTTGGGCGCAGAATCTTCTGCATGACGGAAGGGTTGTGCGGGTCGTTGATAGTCTTGGGGACGGAGGCCGAGGTCCAGTTCTCACTCTTAGTTCTATCATGGCCCAGGCTCGCTGCTGAGCTCTTTCTCCTCCTTGATTCAAGGTACGAGTTGTTCGCCTTGACCGACGGGCTTGGGCTGTTCTTGGCTGAGCTGAGATTCCCGACCGTTGCAGAAATAGGCAACCGCGGCGGTGGCATCTGCTCCTTACTAATGCTGCGTTCAACAGTCTTTTCCGATGTGCTCGCTTTCGAATCCGTCTTGGAGGTATTACGTTTCCACGACAAGCTCAACTTCCTACGTAAAGAGCTCATTGAGGACGGAGTAGGTGGTTCTTCCGGATCCGAGATTGGCGGCGTGGGAGACTTTGCTTTCACAGGCCGTTGGGCACGGGGGCCAGAAGGTTTCTGCAGTGGCTTTACTTCGAGAGGTTCCGTGATATTCCCAAGGTCGCCTGTCTGTGACCTCTTCAGGAAAGCAGGATCCGCGCCGGGCTTGGGCACGGAGGAGGACAAGAATGGAGACACGCTGGGCTTTCTGGTCGCTTTATAAGGTACCGGTATCGGGACCCCTGCGAAAGACTCAGACGAGCTTGTGCCGTCAGCACCTGATGCACTATCAATTCGGGAGTGGTGCACAGTGCTGCTGCTTCGCAAATTAGGGAAATCAGACTTGTCGTCCTGTCTGTTTCTTGAGAAGAAGGAACTTTTCGACGCGGTCATGGGGGTAGTCGGTGTCTTTGCGATGATGCGTGAGGGAGGGGGGCTCAGGTTTCGGTCGGGGCCATTTTGGCCCAAAGCTGCAATCTTCGCGGTCGTCGATGGGTTCAGCGGGCCGACAGTAATCGGGGGCAGCCGCACGGGTGGAGGGTTCTTCCTCGATGGGGGAGCGTTCCCCTTCTTTTCGGCATCCAAGGGGGCCGCATTCGTCGACTTCCGGGTACTAGCCTTTCGGGCGACCTTAACAGCGGGTTCGGGGAGGGATGGTATGGAGAAGCTGCCAGTTGAATTGCTGTTGATGCTGCTAGCATCCGCTGCGAGGTTGGCTTTGCGCTTATCCAAAAACGATGCCTCCGTGGCTGACTGCTGTGGTGATTCGTACGCTTTCGGAATAGCAGGCACAGGTGGGACGTCCTCCTCGTCATCGGCGGAATGGGGGTTATGATTATGCGGGTTCGACGACTTTGGCGCCGGTAGCCGCGATGTAGTACCTCCTGCGACAGGCGCTCGAGGTTGAATTGAGCCTGTTGATGTTCTCACCGTATTGAAACTGTTGGTTGAGGTGATGGAAAGGCCGGAGCTGTACGATTTTCTGTTGATATCCGGGGTCGTCCGGGAGGACGATGGCGTGGCAGATGTCTTCCGGGGTATCATTGATGGCGACCGAGAGTGCTCTCGATGCTCGAGCGGCGGTGGTGGCGGCGCGTTGGCCGCCTGGTTGAGACTCGGAGTTTGGTGCATGGACATGCGCTTCAATCTTCGCGTGTCCGTAGGACTGATGGTCCTGGCACCAAGTCCGCTTGCGTGTGACGCATGCTGCCCCCCAGGCATCATAGACTGCCTTTTTGATTGGGCCGAACCGTTATTAGTTCCTTTGCTGCTGCCGCCTCGAGGGGATCTCGGAGAAATCGTTGAAAGGCGGGTGGTGTCTGGTGTTGATAAGTTGGCAGTATTTGATCGGGGAAGTGGCTGGTGCATCGATTTGGCCTTTGTCGCTCTACTGTTGGCAAGATTCCGTGGAGTCTCAAAGCCCATGCCGGCACCGGCATCCATCGAGGTCCGAGAGAAATCCGTTCCACTGCCAACGGTGCCCATCAGGCTCGGTCTTCGACGTTGAGCAGTGTTACTGCCAAAGTCCGTTTCGATGACGCCCGAGCCGATTGATTTCCTGGGTGGCTTCGCAATGTTGGTGTTTGATACCGGAGGGTAGTGGCTTTGCCGTCGAGACCTCGCTGCGGCCGTTGACGCGTCTGCGGCGGACGAGGGCCCAGAAGCGATAGATGAGATGCTTGGTTGTCTGCTGGACGTGCTAGGTCTTCTCAAGATTGAACCAGATCTTCCAGGGCGAGTAACGGGAGGTGGGATTCCACCACGCGCAGACGCGCCATTCTGGGAGATGTTTGAGACCCCGCCCATCTTGTCGGCCATGCTCTCAGAGTCGAGAATACCACCTTGGCCGGTCGGGTTCGGAAATTGAGTCAATTTGAAGTCGTGTGAGGCCGACTCGAGACTGCTCTGGAGGTCGTCGAAGCTGACCGAGGGCAGAAAATCGTAGGAAGGTGTCGAGTCTGCTACTTCGTTCACGGCGCCATTCCGTCCAAAAGAAAAAAGAGGGTGGCTGTTGGCTGAAGATGCACTGAGCATTGGACCGCCGGCGAATGAGCCCTTTGAGGGTGAGTTGGTTTGCGAGTCTGGGATTCCCCTATTACTGCAGCAATCATCGGGTCAGCTCTCTGCAAGGTAGTTACCCACCCAGGGATGCATGGGTCAGGGCATAACAAAGCGGCGTGAACAGCAACGAAGAAGCGAGGGCAAAGTTGAAAGGGGGAAGTGGGAATGGGAATTAGCATACAGTCTGGTCGGGGACTGGTTCGCCGGTCGTGGGCCAGCAGGTATTCTATGCTCCCTTATCATGTGTACGCGGTGCAACGGCCAGCGCGCAGATCATGCGAGCGTTGGACGTGATATGACGAGAAGGCGAGGGCGGCAGAATGTTTCGAGGGGGAGAATGTCGAAGCAAGTCGGGCTTGTCGACACAACGGCGCTGAAGGTCGGGTTCGCGATGCGATGCGGGCGAGCTCAGTCCTGTCAGGGAGCTGAGGGCATTGAAGAAGCTACCTCATTCCGGGACAATACTGGACAGGCACAGGACGACAAAGGGCGGATGATGGAAGGGTTGGCGGTGTTGGTTGGGGTGACAGAAGGGACAGGAATTTGAAGATGCGAGGATTGGCGTTGGTCGAAAGGAGGTGGGCACGGGAGGCGTAAACCACCAAACTCGGCCTACGGTAAGGTAGGAGTGAGGTTGGAGAGGGCCGGTGCAGAGATGAGAGGAGGAGGACGACGACGAGTACTGCGAATGGGCCGGACTCTCTCTTTCTGGCGGGCTGCGTGTGTCTACTGGTTGTTTTTGTTCGAGAAAGAAGGACCCGCCGCTTAAGTTGTCAGTGTGGTGGACAGTGGACTGGTGGTAGGCGGGCGAGCAGGTCACGACCAGGGTAGGTGGTGGAGCGTGCAGTGTGGATGGGGGATGGAGCCAGGAACGAGCACTAGAGAAGAGAGCACTGGAGCCTCTAGAGATTTTTGTCTTCTTTTTTTGCTCTTCCTCGTTGTTTCTTGAACCCCCCGTCAAAGTGGTACGAAGATGCGAATGAGAAGCGGTACATCAGTGTGGAGGAAAGACGGGCAGAGAAGTGGATTGTCATTTGAGATAGACGGTAGCAGAAGAGTGAGAAAGAGAGAGCAAGTAAGGTACTTCCTGGTTACCTGAGGTTAGCCCGAACGGGGGGAACTCTGGAGTAGGTACCTAGGTCTGGAGTGCGAGGTCACTCAGAGAGTCCCGTCCCTTTAGTTTATTGTTAAGGTATCAGTACCTTAGCTTATGGCGCAAAGGCACAAGATGCCCAAGGCAAGGTCAGGCACATACAAACAAACATGGAATACTATTCGTAGGTACAGAGTAGTGGCAGCAGCAGCAGCAGTAGTAATCATCGACCACCAGACACGTTCCGTCACCCAGTCCCGTCAGGTTGTCAGTTAGGTACGCAACTTCCGGCCATTCTCTGAGGGGAGGATCTGTCATGCACCTCGCGACTGACCTGAGGGGGCTTGCTAACATCTAGGTACGGCAGGCCGATGCGGCAGTAGTGCAGGAAACGGGACCAATGTTGGTAGACTAAGCGAGCACCAATGTCCAGTTGATTGAGGGGAGTCGAGAGAGTTTATCCGTGAGGTAAGGTAAGGTACCATGTGCGGTTCAGGAACATACACCACTTTGCATGCGCTACTCCGTGCAGCTGCAGCACATTTCCGCAGGACCGTTCTAGCGGCCAACCTTGGGCAAATGACGGGGGGGAAACATCCATCCGAATCGAAATGGGGGGGAGAAAAACAAAAATGCGGCGGCGGGTGGTGATGGAGTCCCTGGACCATGAATGCGAGCGAGGAAGAAAAAAAAAGGGTGGTGGTCGGTGCAGTGCCCGCCGGCCCCTCACTCACATTTTGGCAAGAGCGAAAGAAAGGGAGGTCGGGGGACCGCTGCAACAGGGATCACCTGCTGATTGCACGAATTGCGCCAGTTGCTCATTAGACGCGTGTATCGATTAGTACCTTGCCTAAGACTTCGCCATCAAGAGGTACAGATGCTTCGTATCTTGAAATTAGGCAGGAAAGAGAGCACTGCTGGAGAAGTGTCTCTCTCCTTCTGTTGATGCTATCACCACTCAAGATTTTATTCCAAGAGGCAAGAGCAAGATACTCAAGGTACTCCATAGGATCTGCCTTACTTCGCAGGTACCCATGGCAGCGGGGCAGTTCGTACCTCACACCGCATTCTCAGGGAAGGAACTCTCAAAAAACCACCAGGTCGGTGTGATCAAATGATGGAACCCGTCAAGTCTAATAGCGTGCTTTGGGCCCCCTCCTATTCCCCAATTCCCCTCTTCCTTGGGCCCCTTGGACAATTGGCCGCTAAATAACCTCGACAAAGACAAAATGAGGCAAATCTCATGAACCAAGCGGATACCTTCCTGTGTACGGACTACGGAGTGCAGATACCTCGAATCCATCGCATTTCATTCTCTGCAGTCTCCAGATCATACGGTATACCTTGCGGATGCCAATACCGAATACTCTATCGAGCAATTTAGCAACTCGGCACCATTTCCGTCCACCTACCGACCGACCCAAGTTTGTGGCTTGCCCTAAGTCTGAATACCCCGTACGGATACGCATTTCTTCCCGCTATCTCTACGAAGGTTCCAGAGAAACTCGGACCCTGGCCGTTGAAGCGCCATCTGCGGCAGCGGGTTCTCTCATTTACCCAAGATTCTGCTGTCCACCATTACGAGCAGCCAAATATCCAGACACTGATACAAATACCTACCATCCGTGCTTGCTTTGCATCTACGGAGTAGACTGAAGACAGATATACCAGTCTACTCGACCTCTCCAATAGGTACGAGGCGTCGGCTGCTAACATCATCTAGCATCCAATGTCGACGCCTCGCACGTATGGATAGCTTGGCTAGCATGGCTAGGTTGACATCAACTCTATTCGTGCTCTTTCCGTACAACCGAACAAGCACGACTCGCCCAGGTCCCATCGACCCAGATCAAGTTTCGGGTTGTTGCAGCCATCGCACGCGTGTAAGCTTCGCGGGCGTCGTCCCTCAGTCAGCGACTTTCGCGTTGCTGCATCCCATCTTCTCGTCGCTCTCTGTCTTTACTCCGTCCGTAATTCGTTCCAAACTTTGCCGCGACTCGTCCCAAATTGAGGGGCATCCAACCGTCGAAAAGAGCTTCCCGCGTTTGTCAAGCTCGCTGCTATTTCGACGCGTCTCTCGTTCCCGTTTGGGGCTAATTGGGACACTGCCGCGCCCGCCATCACGGTCCAGCAGCAGTTCGGAGCTGCAAAGATGCGTCCCTGCGTCACCGCGGGCCGTTTGTTGTCCTCGTCGCCGCATCAACCAGGAGGAAGACCCTGGGGGGAAAAGTGACATGGGGGGTGACGGGTGAGGGTCAAGTGCCTCAACGCCCAAAAGCAAGATGCCCATCTGTCCAGTGGAATTTGGGGGTTCTGTGGCAAAACGGCCTGCTAGCAAGGATTCCGAATGCTTGGGGGTCCCGCCATATGCAATCTGCAACCTGCAATCCTCCTCTCCGCCGCCCGTCCTTGGAGGAACACCGGTCGGTATTCAACCACAGCCAACCAAGCCGTTTCCCGACCAGGCGCCCGTCACGTAATTTGTCCGTTGTGGTCCTGTGCCGAGGATCGCAGGAAGTTCATCCCTCGTCTCCTAGGACGACCATCGACGAGCCCAATGCCAACGTCGACGGGAGTCAGCAGGGCTTCTCGCAATTATCAAATGCCTTCCTACCTGGATATCTTTCGGTATGGAGTAGCCAACGTGGACTCATAGCATTGGGCGGGTCACTGTCACTGGCTGACAATGGCAAACCCCAGCTTGTAAGAATTGGCTCTGCATTCGGCCCCGAGCGGTGGCTTGTCTTACGGGATGGATTGATGATTTGCTTTTGCAACCAACGGTACCAATACCTGCCACTTGTCATTCGCAACAATTGGCCGACCTAACAGTCCAATGGAGGACGCTGGCAACCCATACATTCGCCGTGCGTCTGTGGACCTTGAACGCAAAGTTCGAAAATTGCTTCATGCAACTTCAGTCGGTCGGGCTCTTCGTAGACTCTTTTCGCTTGCAGATCAAAGCTGTCAGAGCAACTTCGGTTGCGGCCGACTATTGGGTACCAGAGGAATTTCAGGACAATCATATGAAGGGACATGATACGGAGTACATCAACACAAAACCGCATCGCCTTGGTTCCTGATGCAGACCATCATTTCGTGGGATATTGTTTTGCCCAGGCCAACGACCAATCACCGAACATGATCTCCGGGCCTCTGCGTTTGTTTTCTTAATAAGGTGCTGCTATAGTCCTTAACCACACCGCCTGCCTCATCGTCTCGCAGAACAGGGGCCCAGCAGATCTCTGTTTCGAACTCCCTCCGTCTGTAATGCGAGCCATCAAATTTGGGATCTACAGGGCACTGACATTCACAAACCAATTCGTCTTTGGTGATTCCGTCAGCAACAAGTCATCTCATGTGGACTTTGAGAGGTTTGGTGACTAGAGCGAGCAGAACCAATCGGCGATCCAAACCCAACTCATAAGTGAATCGCCTCACCTGAGCTATAGAATAAGGTTCGATCGAGTCGGCCAACCGTCGACGGAGCATTATCAAGCCTCGAAGCAGCCCGCTAGGCCGATGTCCATTATCGAAGCCTGAAAGTGGCTTTTCAAGACTACAGTTGAAGCTCTCGGGAAGAACCCCTGAGTCTTGACAAGCTCTCCAGCTCTTATTACGACTCACTACCCGATCATTGATCTACCCTAGGTGCTGCCTCTAAGTCAAAGGAAACACTAACCCTCTGGCTCCATTTCAGCCCCGAGCCCGGGCTGCGTCGAGTCCCCAGCTTCTGCGCCCAACGCCCGACAGTTAAGGATCAATCATCCCGCCCCTCGTGTACACAGATAGCGTGTACAGAAGTACGGTTATTACGGGCAGACGAGCAGAGTACGGTACGCTGGTCACCGCGCCGCCGATAGTCTTAGAGCTCAAGCTTGCCACAGGGCAGGTCAACCTTGCCCTGGATAACTTGGACTGGCATGCGATGGCAGAAACAAGACAGGGTCCGAGCTGATCAAGGGATGCATGCCTCCTTTTCTCTCTGGTGTACACTCTGGCATCTGGGTTGCCAATTGCCTTCTCTGCCCCATTCCGTCCGTCCCGTTTTCCGTTCTTCGGGCTTCCGAGCGGCGTCCACAACTCAACCTTTCTTCCTCTCCTTTGTTACAGCTGCAAATACACTCATGGGCTGATGATTCTAGAAGCACTGACCAACGCAGACGGCCAAAGTCATGGTCTAATCCCCCATATTCCCGTTTCATGGAGGCTCCTTCTTGGCCGGCAATCCATCGCCTTCAGTCCCAAGTTACTGATTCAAATATTTCATCCAACGTCAGGGGATCTTATTGAGTTGACCAAATGTTAGATCAGTTGACACTGAGAACAGCCAAAGTTTCGCACGAGGAGGCTTGCACCACTGGCAACCTCTATCGACGGGAGAGTTACTTCCTGGCTTCAAGAGCTGAAACAGCCGGCCAGAATAACTCGAACTTAGACTCATCCATCGCCATCGTGTGCCTAGGTACTCTGTGACTATTTGCTTTCTGTTGTGTAGACAGACGGCACGGAGACAAATGTCTCTCTATGAATGGGCCGATCCAACATTCCACTTTCCTCAGACAACTTCCTCACCGTCTATCCAGATCTCGTGGATATTCCGACTTCTTATTGATCAGCCATAGCTAACCAATATCCGTCTCTGTGGCTCTTGGGTCTCCCCTTTCCATGGGCAATCAGCCAGACGGGTTTGGAGGAACGGGTGCGGGAGGCGTGGCCGTACAGGCAGAGACGCACACCAACAACTAAGCTCGTTGCCGCTGGATCGTAGACAATGTGGTCAAGCTCCAGTGGGTTTACTGTTCCTGCAAGACGAGGCCATTTCCAATGTGCGTTCTGATACGGGTAAGTGGTAGGGAAGGGATGGGGGCCATGGATGACATTTGCTGTGTGGCAGAAGCTTACTGGAGCATGTGATGGCTGCCACGGGCTCTGTGGATTGCGGTCTGCGGCCTGCTGGCATCGGACCCAGTTCCCCATGCTGCGGCCCAAATCACATGCAGTGGAGGCTTGCAGCTTGAGGGGAGCTTCCGCCGGTCCAGCCGGGCAGCTCCAATGACATTCCCCATGCACCGATCCACATCGTAACCTCAACGTCTCACACAGCTTCACAGCTTCCGGACATTTTGGACAAACTTAGCTCAAGCGCATCTGAGCTATCTACGCAGAAGACAAACACAGATCGCGTTACCACCCGTCTCATCATCCCCTTGCTTTTGCAGCGAACTGCACGCGCACCCACACTGCCAGGCGGCTGTCCGCCAAACGATGACGTGACCTCCCTTCAACGACCATCAACCCACCATCAAACGAAACAACCGCCGGCGCATCCTCTGCTACAACTACCACCACACACCCTGCGCAGAAGGTACGAACCATGGACGAGTATACGGCCGACCTCTTCATATCTCGCGACGATGCCTCGGATCATCAGCCCCATGCGCAGCCACCTCCGACTGTAGTGATTGACGAGTGGCCTCACGATTCCGACGTCAGCGAGGGCACCCCGTCCAAGAAGTCTCCCTCCGGCCTGCGCTCGCGCATCGCGAATAACCTCAGCAAGAAGACGAGCATTCAAGATCGTCTAGTCGAGAGGTGAAGCCTACTTTCTCATAGCCACAACTCTATCTTCTTGAGAAAGAAACTGACGCTAACTGAACCGCTTCACCCAGGCTCCTCCAACAGGTCATCCCCGAGAGCTCTGATGGCCTCACAAGCGGCGGCGACGATCCCCTCGCCCCGGGCTTCTCCCCGGACAAGACGAGCACCTTTTCCGAGCGGCCCAACTTCAACATCACCACAATGTCCAACAATTTCCGTCGCTTCAACGCCCGTATCGGCGTCGTCTTCAAGTTCCAGGCCCGCGTCGTCCGCCTCCTCAGCTGGCGCCGCCCAACACACACCCTATCCCTCCTCGCCGTCTACACATTTGTCTGTCTGGACCCGTACCTCTTAACCGTCGTGCCCCTCGCCGGCTTCCTCCTCGCCGTCTTCATCCCTTCCTTCCTCGCCCGCCACCCGGCTCCGCCCTCCGGCACCCTATCCTCGGAGCAATCAGTCGGCTACTCCCCAAAAGGTCCGCCCCTCGCCCCCGCCCGGACTGTGAAGCCCGTCAAGGAGCTTAGCAAGGACTTCTTCCGCAACATGCGCGACCTTCAAAACTCAATGGACGACTTCTGCGTCGCCCACGACGGCGTTGTCGCCACCGTCCTCCCCATCACAAACTTCTCCAACGAGGCCCTCTCTTCGGCCCTCTTCCTCGCCCTCACCCTCACCACGGTCCTCATGACCACCTTCGCCTCCCTCCTCCCCTGGCGCCTCATCGCCCTCCTCGCAGGCTGGGCCGCCATCCTCTCGGGCCACCCGGCCATCGCCCCTCTGCTGACGCACACCCACGACACCCACGTCGCGCCCCACGAGGCCCAAGCCCGCTCCAGCGTCGACGCCTGGATCGCGGGCGACATCATCCTCGACTCGGCGCCCGAGACGCGCGAGGTCGAGATTTTCGAGCTCCAGCGCGCGTCCCACGATGAGTGGGAGCCCTGGCTCTTCTCACCCTCCCCCTACGACCCGCTCTCCCAGCCCCGCATCGCCGGCGATCGGCCCCGTGGCACGCGCTTCTTCGAGGACGTGTTACCGCCCGACGGGTGGGTTTGGTCCGAGAAGAAGTGGGCGCTGGACCTGTGGAGCAGGGAGTGGGTGGAGGAGCGCATCATTACGGGCGTCGAGGTCGAGACGGAGGGGGAGAGGTGGGTTTATGACATGTTTGATGAGAATAGTGCTGCTGGCGGCGGCTTCGGGGGCCCGGTGGACTCGTCGCCGACAACGATGGGGAAGGGGAAGGCGAGAGTTCCTAGCGCGCCGCTTTCGGGATGGGAGGAAGGGGAGGACGGGACGGGGAAGAGGGGGGAGTGGAGGCGGCGGAGGTGGGTTAGGCTCGTCAAGAGGCGGGCTACGATGAGTACTGCTTGAGGGGGTTAGATGAACGGATTGTATAGTATGGTGATGATAATGACGTGATATTCAATGGGCAGTCGCTTCCAACGTGACCCTCCGATGTAAATGTGGACATGAGGTCCTCTCTAGATTTGAGACTGTACACTAGATCAGATGTGTCCCGCTCGTAGCTCGAGTGTTCTTGATGGAGTACCGGTTAACCCATCACAGCAGTTGTCGAGACGTTTTTTTGCAGTTCCGAAGTCGTTATCATAGTGAAGTCACTCTACGAGTGTCTCTCGCCGTCCCGGGTCATCGCCTGCAACCGACATGTTCATGTGTGGATAGTTGTTGAATCTTCTCTCCCGTCGGTTGCTTCTCTCCCATCTGCCGTCTCTCAGACCGAGTCTAAATGCAGCCCTATCCGGCATGCCAGCCGGTTTAAGAAAAAAAGGGTGTCACCAAACCCCAACCAACACCATAAGAAAAGCTAGAAGAAACGTCCCCGTCGTTCCATCTTTCGGATTAGGTATTTCCATCCGTCCAACTGCCTGACCTCGTCCCATCCATCCAAGTGTCCCTGAGATGAAATTGTCCATCCCATTGATTTTTTGGGAAGCAGTCTCCCGCCTCCAGAAGAAAATAGAAAAAAAGAACCAGAAGCCATCCGTCATCAAATCATGAAGTCGTGTTCTTGTCGGCGAGGACCATCTTGTCGAGAATCTTGTGCACGCCCTTGGTCAGCCCGCGGCCCTCGTCGATATCATCCGCAATCTTGCGCGCGCGGTCAATGAGCACGCCGACGACCTGCTTGGTATACTCGAAGCTCCCCGTGCTCTCCATGCGCGCGACGGCGAAGCGCTTGACCTCGACGTCGTTTGTCTTCTGCCCGAGGATGTTGATGAGCTGCAGGTTGGACGGGTCGGAGCGGATGCTGTGGATGATGGGGAAACTGAACTTGCCCTCGGTCAGGTCCTCGCACATTCCTTTATTGTCCGAGTACTCCTTGGACGAGAGGTTCATGTAGTCGTCGCGGATCTGGAAGATGAGGCCCATGAGGTTGACGAGCTCGGAGCAGTCCGTCAGGCTGCGGGACTCGGCCTGCATGAGCTTGATGCCCAGGCGGAAGAGGCCGCCCGTCTTGTTG